AAGACGCCCCCAGAGCACTCCTTCCACGAGGACACGGTTCGTGGGCCAGCCGCCTGCTGTGGTGGAACCATGCCCGCTGGATTCCGCGCCTTCCGGAAATTGCCGTGCGGCAGATTGGAAAACCGTCCCAGGCTGTTTTCTGTCGACGGTCGACAAAAGCAAGCAGAGAGAGGAAGAGTTTGGTGGGAAGCCATCGGGCCGATCCAACATGGCTTCTGTTACGTTCTTATGTTCAGAAGGCCCCCCTGGACGATCCCTTGGCCTCTCCAGGGCCGGTGCAGTGTAGTGGTGAAGAGTGATGGATGAGGGTCCGAGAGATCCGGGTTCGAGTCCCCAGTTGTGCCATGGGAGCTCGTTGGGTGGCCTTGGGCCAGTCACTTCCTCTCAGCCTGACCTACGTCACAGGGTTGTTGTGATGATAGAATGGAGGCGAGGAGGATAACGAAAGCCGCTTTGGGTCCACACTAGGAGAGGAAGGTGGGGTGTAAATGAATTAAATCAATAATGATAGATTCAGGCGGGTCGAAGAGGAGAGGAGATTGGATTTACACCTCCCCTCCTTCACTACCCGAAGGAGTCTCAGAGCGGTTTACAATATCCTCCCCACAACACACACCCTGTGAGGTAGGTGGGGCTGAGAGAGCAGCTCTGCCCTTGAGAGAACAGCTCTGAGAGAACTTGTGACTGACCCAAGGTCACACCAGCAGCTGCCTGTGGAGCAGGAGTGCGGAACTGCCCTTGAGAGAACAGCTCCGAGAGAACTTGTGACTGACCCAAGGCCACACCAGCAGCTGCATGTGGAGGAGGAGTGCGGAACTGCCCTTGAGAGAACAGCTCTGAGAGAACTTGCGACTGACCCAAGGTCACACCAGCAGCTGCATGTGGAGGAGGAGTGCGGAACTGCCCTTGAGAGAACAGCTCTGAGAGAACTTGTGACTGACCCAAGGCCACACCAGCAGCTGCATGTGGAGGAGGAGTGGGAGAATCAAACCCGGTTCTCCCAGATCAGAGTCCGCGCTCCTTAACCACGACACCCAACTGGCTCTATCATTATTGATGGATTGAATGAGTGAAAGAAGGGAGGGAGGAAGGAGATTCAGGTGGGGTCGCCATGAAGCGGCAGAACGAAGTTGGAGTCCAGCGGCACCTTTGAGACCCGCAAAGTTTTATTCGGAGTGTGAGCTCTCATGGGCAAACCCACCTCTTTGCACCCAAAAGCTCATACCTTGAATAAGACTTCCTTGGTCTTAAAGGTGCCACTAAACTCGAACTTAAAACCATAATGTCAGGGTCGATGGGGAACCCTGAAGAGCCACCGCTGGTCAAACAGACAACCCAGAACCAGACGGAGTGAGGGGACGGAGTTGGGGTTGCCATTCTCCAGGCAGGGCCTGGAGGTCTCCTGGAATCAAAACTCATCTCCAGGAATCGGCTGCTTAAGGGGTGTGTGTGTGTCTCTATGGCATTATGCACTGCTGAGGCCCCACCTCTTCCACAGACCCCGCCCACCCCAGGCTCCACTCCCCAAATCTCCAGGAATTTCCCAACCAGGACCTGGCAACCCTGGCATGTGAGAGGCCAATGGTGGCAGGTGGGACGAGCGGGGGGGGGGACCTGCCTGGCCCGGGGGGAAGCCCGAATCCTCTGCAAGGTTCAGGGGCGATAGTTGGGGAAGGTTTGCCACAGATCAGCAGCGTCCCCTGCTAGAGTGTCGACTGGGATCGGTTTGGTGCAGCGGTTAGGAGCGCGGACTCTAATCTGGGAGAACCGGGTTCGATTCCCCACTCCTCCACTTGCAGCTGCTGGCGTGACCTTGGGTCAGGCACAAGTTCTCTCAGAGCTGTTCTCTCAAGGGCAGTTCTCGCAAGAGCTCTCTCAGCCCCACCTACCTCACGGGGTGTCTGTTGTGGCGAGGGGAAGAAAAAGGAGATTGCAAGCTGCTCTGAGACTCCTTCAGGTAGTGAAGGGCAGGGAAGAAGAAGGAGAAGGAGAAGGAGAAGGAGAAGGAGAAGGAGAAGGAGAAGGAGAAGGAGAAGGAGAAGGAGAAGGAGAAGAAGAAGAAGAAGAAGAAGAAGAAGAAGAAGAAGAGGAGGGATTGGATTTAAACCCCCGCCCTTCACTACCAGAAGGAGTCTCAGAGTGGCTGACGGGCTGAGAGAGCTCTTGACAGAAACTGCTCTTTTTCAAGGACAGCTCTTATCAGAACTACGGCTTGCCCAAGGCCATCCAGCCAGGTGGAAGTGGAGGAGTGGGGAATCAAACCCGGTTCTCCCAGATTAGATTCCGCGCACTTCACCACTACACTACATCCAATCTCTTCTTCTCTCCTCCACATGCAGCTGCTGGTGTGACCTTGGGTCAGTCACAAGTTCTCTCAGAGCTGTTCTCTCAAGAGCAGTCCTCGAAAGAGCTCTCTCAGCCCCGCCTACCTCACAGGGTGTCTGTTGTGGGGAGGGGAAGGGAAAAGGATTTTTTAACCACTCTGAGACTCCTTCGGCTACTGAAGGGCGGGGTATAAATCCAATCTCTTCTCTCCTCTTCTCCTCTAGGGTCTGGGATACTCAGGTTCGAATCCCCACCCGTGCGTGGAAGTTTGCTGGGTGACCTTGGTCCAGCCCCACTTTCTCGGCCTTCCCTACCTCGCAGGGTTGTTGTGATGGTAAAATGGAGGAGGGGAGAAGGGGGTCAGCCGGTTTGGGTTCCCCTTTGGGCGAGAAGGGCAGAGCATAAACGGGAAAAGCTAATTCAAGATGCCGAACTGTGGCAACCCACGGCAGGACCCCAGTATCTTAGTCACGTGGGGGAGGGAGAGGTGGGATTGAGCAGGGAAGAGGCCATGGTGACGGGCCAAAGGAATGTTCACCTCCAGAGCTGTGAATAGGACCCAGGCATCTTGGAAGGCGATTTCTATGTAACTGCTAGGTGCCAACTCCCCCCCCCAAGAAAACAGTGATGCTGGGGGGGGGGAGTCGTTCTGTGTTTTTCCCCCCAGTGCAAAGATGGACGGATACCCATGAAATGGTCTTTGGGCACTCCAGATTTAACCTTTGACATCACAGTGCTCAGCACCAGGGATCGTTTCCTGCGGGAGTGCACAGGAGTGGAGCTCCGGCAGTAAAGAGCCCAGGGGGCAGGCACAGGCAACAAGCCCCGCCCCCTGCTCCCAGCAGCCCTCTGTCAGAGCAAGAAGCAGCCAGGTAAGTTGCAGAGCCCCCCCCCCCTGTGAGTTCGATGACCAGGGTGTAAGGGGGCTGATAGTAGGGCTCCTTCAGGGGGTCGGGGAGCAGCTTCGGACTGGTGGGCTCTATTATCATCTGCAAAATAAAGGCACCCACGCTGCAACCTCCGAAGACAGGGGCACGGGGCACCGCACACGAGGAGGCCGCTTCGTTAGGCTCAGGAGCAATGCTCACTCTAAGCTGTGGAGTCCCGTGAGCAAAAATCCTACTTTGTGAGCTGCTGGCACTAAAGTTGTCAGCGAGCGATTTGGCTGCTGCATCAATTAGTTTGCTCTGGAGCCCTCCTCCCTGAGCCAGGACAAAAAATGCGCGAGCCGGAGGCTAAAAAACTGTGGGCTAGCTCACACTAACCCAGCTTAGAGGGAACACTGCCTGTGGGGTAGGTGGGGCTGACAGAGCTCTCTTGAGGACTGCCCTTGAGAGAACAGCTCCGAGATAACTTGTGACTGACCCAAGGTCACACCGGCGGGCCGCACGTGGAGGAGTGGGGGAATCAAACCCGGTTCTCCCAGATTAGAGTCTGCGCTCTTAACCACCACACCAAACTTGACTACAGAGGTCTGTTCCCCTGGAGAAAAGGGATGCTTTGCAGGGTGGGCTCGATGTACCCCAACGAGGTCCCTGCCCTCCCCGGACTCCAACCCCAAATCTCCAGGAGTTTCCTAAGCGGGATCTGGGAACCCTCCCCCTCACCCCCCCCCCCCCGCTGGTGTCCTTGGGGGACCTAGCAACCCACATTTCCCAAGGGTCTTTGCTACCTGCAGCCACCAACCCAATCTGCCTAACAAAGAGCTCTGTGTCATTCAAAAGCCTGCACGGGCAATCCTTTATTGTAGGACTCAAGCCGATAGGGGTGCACTGCATCAAAGTGGTTTTACAGACTTGCTTGGATAAATTATTGGGACGGTGCTCTATACTGCTGTGTAAAGCTTATTGTATGGGCAGCGGTGGCTCAGAGGATAAGACGCTGAGCTGCAGACTGGAAGGTCGGAGGTTCGGCAGTTCGAGACCCGAGTGCCACGTGACGGAGTGAGCTCCTGTCTCTGGTTCCAGCTCCTGCCAACCTAGCAGTTCGAAAGCAAGAAATTGCAAGTAGATAAATAGGTGCCGCTTCGGTGGGAAGGTAACAGCGTTCCGTGTGCCTTGGCCACATGACCACGGAAACGTCTTCGGACAGTGCTGGCTCTTTGGCTTGGAAACGGAGATGAGCCCTAGAGTCGGATTCGACTGGCTTTCGAGCAAGGGGAAGACCTTTACCCTATAGCTTATTGTATGTACGATTTTATTTGTGTAATTCCTGCACCGCTGGATATGTCCTGTGACTACTTCTCCTCTGCTTCTGTTCTTTCTGGTGGGTTCCAGACGTCTAAAATCCAAATGCCTCGGTTACGGAACGTCCCCTTTTGTAGACTGCACCGGCTCACTGCGCGTCACCTGCCTTGAGAAAGGCGGATGATAAAAGAGCGTGAAATAAATACAAATTGAGAATAAGATATCTGCTTTCCCCTCCCTGTTTCAAGTCTTTGCATTTCTGCTGTCTTCCCGTCTCCCCCCCCCCATCTCTTTGCAGTCTTGGCCCCGCCTCCCCATCTGACCACGCCCACTCTGGACCAGAAGGCGTGGCCCCCCCAGAGCCTCTGAGTTGGTGGAAGAACATACTTAAAGGATTGCCTGAAGGGTCCCCTTCTCCAGGTTGAACGCTACAGAGAAGAGATGAAGGTGGGGAACTGAGATCCGGAGGCAGAGACTTCGGGAGAGAAGATGCCCTTGGAGAGCCTCAGCCCCTTCGTGGAGTTGGACGATGCTCTGTGCAAGGCAGGTAGCGCCCCGAGAGTAACCCGAGGATGTGGCTGTGGCCATCTGTGTGTGTGTGTGAAGTTTCTTAGAAAAGACGTTGTGTCTTTGTGTCTTTTTCATCTGGAACTCCCTCACCCTCGTGGGTACCTTTTAAAGAACCGGTTTCGGCTGGGTTTCCTTCTGAAGAACGCAGAAGGGGAGGGTTGAGGAACGCATCCTGCTAGAAAAGTTATTTTACTCAAAGTCTCCATCAATGCTTCCTCTCGGCTGTGCAGGCCGGTGAGCAAAAATTATAGTTTTGTGAGCTGCTGGCATTCAAGTTGTGAGCGAGCGGTTTGGCTGCTGCATAAGTTAGTTTGCTCGGGAGCAATGTGAGCTGCTGGCATTAAAGTTGTGAGCCAGCCATTGGGCTGCTGTATAAGTTAGTTTGCTCTGGAGCAACGCTCCCTCTAAGCTGTGGAAGTCTTGTGAGCAAAAGTTCTGCTTTGTGAGCCAAGGGCATTAAAAGTGGTGAGCGAGCGATTCGGCTGCCGCATCCGTCAGTCTGCTCTGGAGCCCTCCTTCCCGAGCGGAGACGAAAATGCGTGAGCCGGTGGCTAAAAAAACTGTGAGCTGGCTCACACTCACTCGGCTGAGAGGAAACACTGGCCTCCATAGTAAAAATGGAGAGCTTTTAAAGTTGTAGCCTGCAAGTTGTTGGGGGTCCTACATCCGGCCCACATCTGTTCCTGGGTGTGCAAACAGACCTTTGCAGAAGCAAAGTCAGGGGGGGGTGCGTCCTCCTGTCTGCAAGTTCCTGGTATTTGGGCCCCCTCCTTATGGGGGGGGATGTTGAAAGAGGAGACCCGAGAGGAGCAAGCGCTCCCCCCACGCACACCTGTATAGCTTTCAACTGCAAACTCTCCTCTCCCAAATGTTAAGCGGCCAAGAGAGTAAAGTATATTTGGTTATTATTTCACTGGCTTTCTCCGTGCTTGGCCCGGTCTTGTATGGCAATGTGGGGGATAGATCCAGGTGGAAGCAACAGAACAAGGTTGGAATCCAGTGGCGACTTTGAAGACGGACAAAAGTTCAGTTCTGGGTAGAAGCTTCCGTGGGCAGGCACGCTTCATCAGATAAATGAAGTGCGTGCGAAAGCTTCTACCCGGAATTACACTCCGTTGGTCTTCAAGCCGCCCCTGGGACTCAGTGTAGGGGAATAACTCCTGGAATAATTTGGGGGAAAGGAAACCAGCCTGAGGTGCCTCGTTTCTGGTTTCTTAAAAACCCTCTCTGGCTCCCCTTCCTTGAGCTAGGGGGGCGATCGGTATTCCACAATCGAGATTGGGGCATTGTGCCGATTGCCTGTGCTTCATCCTTTTTGGCCCAATCTTAATTTCCAAATTCAGGAGCTGGTATAGGGCTGGCAGGTGCCCCCCTAGCCACCAGTGGGGGTTGGGGGGTAGGGTTGCCATCTCCAGGTTGGGGAACTCCTGGAGATTTGTGGGTGGTGTCTGGGGGGAGGACAGGGACCCCAGTGGGGCACAAGGCCATAGAACCCACCTTCCAAAGCCTCCCTTTTCTCCAGGGGAACTGATCTCTGTCGTCTGGAGATGGGCTGTAATTTCAAGGGGATCCCCAGGTCCCACCTGGAGGCTGGCATCCCCAGCCTGGGAGGTCAAAGTTACCCAGACGTTTGGGACGAGCTGTAAGAAGGGGAAACACGTTCTGCACAAGCTCAGAGACCCTACAGTTTCAGTGTTGGAACCTGGTGCTTACAATGGGCCCTGGAAGGCAACTCGTGCAAACCTGACTTCATTTTTACCCTGTGGTCGTTCGGCCCTGCTAAAGTCAAATATAAAAAAGGAGGGGGGGGGTCAGCAGTTGTAAAAGCTGTTGCAGTTTGCAATATTTCACATCAGAGGGGTGGCTCAGTGGCAGAGCCTCTGCTTGGCCTGCGGAAGGTTCCAGGTTCAATCCCTGGCATCTCCAGTCAAAAGGACCAGGCAGGAGGTGGTGGGAAAGACCTTCGCCTGAGACCCTGGAGAGCTGTAAAGAGGGGCTGTGGCTCAGTGGCAGAGCCTAGCTCAGGAAAGGATGGCTCCAAAGCAAACCAATCTATGCAGCAGCCAAATCACTTGCTCACAACTTTAATGCCAGTAGCTCACAAAGTAGAATTTTTGCTCACAAGACTCCACAGCTTAGAGGGAACATTTGTGGCATGTTCTTCCCCCCCAAAAAAATCTGGTACTGGTGCTAGGCGAGGGATATTTTGCGTCCCTTTAAACTGTGTTGTGCGCAAAAACAAGTGTCGCAGGAGAACTCCCGGACCTTATCTTGCAACGAATCGGAGGGGGTTTTTTTAACGTACAGAGGCCTCTGCCTGTGTCGGCATGCGGCACCGCACTGAGTGTGGAAATTTCCATTTAAATTGGTGGTGATGGGGGGGGGGGAGGCTTGCCTCCTCCCCGTCCTGCTGTCCTCTGTCTGTTTCCTGGGAAACGGGACTATTGACCTGTAACATATGGTCTCCTGGGGAGATAAAACCAGGCCGGCTCTGGTGTAACAATTGAAAATCAGTGTGGTGGGGGGCCCAGGATCTAGGAGACCTGGCTTCAGACTCAACCCCCCCCCTCCGTGGAAGCTTTCTGAGAACCCCTGGGGCGAGTCATGCTCTCTCGGCCTAACCTACCTTGCAGGGCCGTTGTGAGGACGACTCCGTCTTTGGAGAGGAAGGGTGGCGTCGGAGCGTGCCCGGGTAGATTTGCAACTGGGGTTTCCCCCTGCCCGTGAGCAGACCAGCTGTATCACAGGTGGATGCGTTTCCTACCCAGAAATAGTCCGAAAGGGCCTCTTGCAGTGTTCTGCTCACAGGGTACCTCTGGCTGTCTTCACTTGTCAGTGGCAAAGGTAAAGGTTCCCTTGCTCGAAAGCCAGTCGAGTCCGACTCTAGGGTTGTGGTGCTCACCTCCGGTTCCAGGCCGAAGAGCCAGCGCTGTCCGAAGACGTTTCCGTGGTCATGTGGCCGGCATGACTAGACACCGAGGCGCATGGAATGCTGTTCCCTTCCCACCCAAGCGGTACCTGTTTATCTATGTGCAATTTCTTGCTTTCGAACTGCTAGGTTGGCAGGAGCTGGAACTAGAGACGGGAGCTCACTCCGTCACGCGGCACACTCGGGTCTCGAACTGCTGAACTACTGACCTTCCACAGCTGGCAGTTCAGCGTCTTAACCACAAGGCCGCTGTGAGAAGGGAGACTGGGGAAAGCACTTCAGGAACCCCCCTCCCCATAATGGAGCCAGGAGGGGTGTCTGTCGCCCCTCTTATAGTGCCAGGTGGGCCGTGGAGCAAAAGGATGCAAGAGGTACAGTGGCCAGAACTGGGCATGGTGTTCCAAATGAGGATGCGCTGGCCTTAGATCTAGACAACGGCATTATAATATTGGCTGTTTTATTTTCAGTCCCTTCCTTAACAATCCGTAACATAGAGTTTTGCCTTTCCCACCACTGCTGCACGTTGCGCTGACGCTTTCCTCGAGCTCTCCACTACGACCCCAAGATCTTTCTCCCTCTCCGTCTCGGCAAGTTCAGACCCCCTGAGCCTAAACTTGCAGCCAGTGTTCCCTCTAAGCTGAGTTAGTGTGAGCTAGCTCACAGTTTTTTAGCCTCCGGCTCACACATTTTTGCCTTAGCTCAGGAAGGGATGGCTCCAGAGTAACCTAATTCGTGCAGTAGCCAAGTCGCTCGCTCACAACTTTGATGCCAGTCGCTCACAAAGTGGAATTTTTGCTCACAAGACTCCACGGCTTAGAGGGAACATTGTTTGCAGCTGGAACACCTTACACTTAGCAACACTGAATTTCCTCTGCCACGTTAGGCACCCAGGCACCCAATTTGTGGAGCGCCACAGTTTGGTGTAGTGGTGAAAAGCGTGGACTCCAGGGCCTTTTTTCTGTGGCGACGCGCCGGAACAGAGTTCCGGAACCCCTTCGCCAATTAAAAATGTTCAAAAGTTCCTGAATTTTCAGTATACAGATTGAAAAATTCATTTCCCTCTTGGGAGTTCCGGCACCTCTTTAATTTAAAAAAATCTAATAAATGAATGCATAAATAAATAAAATTTTAAAACTGGGTCTGATTCCACTCGCCGCCACGTGCAGCTGCTGGTGTGACCTTGGGTCAGTCACAAGATCTGGCACAGCCTGTTCCTGAAAGAGCAGTTTGTGTCAGAGCTCTCTCAGCCCCGCCTACCTCGCAGGGTGTCTGTGGTGGGGAGAGGAAGGGAAAGGAGTTTGTAAGCTGCTCTGAGACTCCGAGTGAGGGCGGGGTATAAATCCAATCTCTTCTTCTTCTTCTTCTTCTTCTTCTTCTTCTTCTTCTTCTTCTTCTTCTTCTTCTTCTTCTTCTTCTTCTTCTTCTTCTTCTTCTTCTTCTTCTTCTTCT